AACTGTAACATTATGATTTTACAAACACACTAACTTACACAGCAAGAACATTAAATTTAAGCTCTTGCATTGATCAAGTAATGTTTTGTATGTTAAATGACTTTACTGATTTCTTTATTCAACAAACAAAATAAAATAAAGTTTGTAAATGATATCTTTGTTTGATCACTAAATGGCCGGCGCGTATAAACAGAGATAACAATCTTAGCAGAGCTTTACACATGATGACCATTCCCCTGCTGTTAATTGATGGATGTAATTCTGAAGTCTGTAGGAAAAGAAACAAGACGCAAACTAATTTATGTGTAATCGTTTTTTTTTACTATAGTGGGAGTGGGGCAACTAAGAGAATATATTTGACCACGTGCTTAGTTAAGTAAATAAAAGATTAAAAGCGCATTTCCTCCTTGGCCGAACGACAACAACAGTATTAATTTCTGCTATATATTCTTACCAAAATTACTCACCTTTAGTTTGGCCTGACTCATTCAAAACAAACTTCTCAGATGTTTCACTTTCACATCTTGTAGTACTACTGTTACTTAACATTTCGGTACAAAAAAATACATACCCATCCAGCAAGGCGTTCAAGTTTGTTTACATCAAAGTCAATTAGGTGCTTGAAAGCCATGTGTTTGGCCTCATCACTCAATCCTGAAATAAAATTTAGAAAAAATATTTACTGGTCTCATTAATTTTTTTCTTCTATTTTTTCTGGAAAAGAATATACTGTTTTACATCTCAGAAAAAATATGGGCACCTACCTCTCTGCAAAAGTCCTGAAATCAAGGGAAAAACTCAGGAATTATTTTCCGTCCTCCATGATTTGACGTGAACCCAAGGCCTAATACTGTTATGACACCTGCAATAAAAATTGAAATTTTTTTTTAAAATATATATTACATGAATAATAAGTGTATAGATTTGTGTATGTGATGGTGTATTTAATTTTTTTTATTTCATGCTAATAAAGCAGTGTAGGCCAAATGAAAAATGTCTATGTTTACCTGATAAATGTGTGTAACTGAAAGATTTCATATGTACTTGTAAATAAAGATTTTTAATTATTTTTCCTCAATCAATGAAAATGAAATTTTAACACAGTAATGTTGAAATGTTGAACTTGTGTATGAGTGAGTATTATATAATTTTGTGCTTTGTGTTTTTCATTTTTTGGACAATTTGTGTGAAAAAATTGCTTTAATATGTTGATTTTTATTAAATAAACTCATTAAAACAAAAACAAGTGTTATTACTTACAATCGAAACAATGTTGTTTCCATGGAGAACTACCTTGTCCGTCATTACACTGCAAGCACTTTAGGATCTGCTACATTAATCAGCCATGACAGCCCAATTGGCTATGGTGCTGCCAGCTCTGCCTGCCATTAGAGGCTGAAGCAATAAGAATTAGTCATGGCTACTTCCTAAGAAGTTGGCACTCACTTGCCTTAAAACTTCATCATTAGTTTATTGAGTAAAGACAGAGAGCAAGCAAAACAATATTAGAGCAGTCAGACTGAGAAATGAAAGGAAAAAGTCAGAGTAAAAGAGGTCTTTTCAAAGTCCAAGATGGCCGTAAAAGGGGATCCCCCCTCAGTGGATGGAAGAAACGAAGCCCAAAGCCTAAGTATGTGAGGAGGCATATATCTGCTAAAATCAGCAAGACTGGAGAGTGCATTCTGAGAGACAATGCTGACCAACTAAACCATGAACAGCCTATCATGCAACTCCGACCGAAGGCCACATGCAACATGCTTCATGCAAATTCTACTCCTAGCCCAGATTACAACACCTACAGACTTTTACATGCAGGGAAGACATGCGACATGTTTAACAAAGCATTCCATCTTCATAATGAAGTTAGCCCAAACTGCCCTACCAACCTACAGTTTGACTACCAGGCCGAAAAACAGAAAGGGGTATGCTGGGAGGAGACCTTGAGGTGCGTGTACTGTAACTTCCGCACGGAGAGCACGAAACTCTATGAGGAGATAGAAACTAACCTGAGAGGACCCAATGCAGCTAAACCAAACATTACCCTATGGACAGCCCTGATGGACAACCCTATTATGGGAAATACACTACAGGAAGTGTTCCTGGCCCTCAACTGCCCAGCACCATCCTACAGTGGTTTGCAGTACAATGCTAACAAGGTAGGACCCAAGATTGTAAACCTTGTCAGGGAAGATCTACAAAGGCAAAGGACTCACCTCAAAGATGTACTGGAGAGCTACGGATATCCACGTCAAACTCCTATTCCTGTGGAAGGTGACGGACGCTATAACAATCCCCTCTACTGGTCCAGAGACAGGAACCCATTTCAACCTGCAACACAAAGTACATATACCATTTCAGAAAATGTTACACCGAGCAAAAAAATTATTGGAGTGGTCACAAAAAACAAACTCTGTCATAAGCGAAGCCAAGGAACCAAGTGTCCGGATCATCCCGGGAAGTGTACAGCCACCTTAATGATGGACCAGCCCATTGGTAGGGAGGACTTGGCCACAGAGGAAATCTGCCGTGAGTTCCTAAGTGACCCAGAGCCTACTTACATTGGCCAGATCACCACTGATGGAGACAGTGCGGCCTACCGTGGAGTGCAGAAGGCAATGAAAGAGCATGGACAGACCGTGGAGGCCTTACGAGATACTCGTCACCTCGCCCAGTCACAGAAAAAAGCAATTGATGCTGCAAAGTTTAGTCCAAGAATGTTTCCGGGTAGAACCGCTGCAGACAAACAAGCCACCAAGAGAAAGTTCTCCGTCGACCTAATGAAGAGATGTACGGCAGAGTACGAACAGGCACTGAAAAAATACCCAGGTGACACAGAGAAGCTGGTCAATGTACTGAGCCATGCAACAGATGCTATCGTCAATTGCTACTCGGGCAAATGTGGAAGGACCTGTGCCAGCCACTCACTAGTATGCAGAGGCCTACCTGAAAAATGTTGGCCCAGAGAGTTTCTCCCACCCCATGCAAGGAAACTGCAACCCACAGAAGAAGACCAGGCCACCCTACGTCAGCTAGTGAACTTCCGCTTTAATAGGAATACACTTACCTCTACCAGGTATGGGACCAACACCCAGAAATCCGAGGCACTCCACAGAGGTTATTCAAAGTCCAATCCAAAGAACGTTACATGTTCCGTGAACTTTGAACCCCAGATCTACTCCGCCATACACAGGATGAATCATGGACCCGGAAATTCCACTACCATGAAGTGTGCTGCCCTTGGAGCTCCACTGCCGTCAAACACCCGTGTGACCCGTCAACTGCAAAAAAGACAAGAGAAATATCAATCTGACAAATTACGAAAAAAGTCTGTGACATACCGTAAAAAAAGACTTGAGCATGTGAGAGAAAAATTTAACATGTACTTTCAAAGAGGGACTGATACAAATGTCGGATACGTGAAGAGGATGAGTGATCCCCCCTTACCAAAGAGAAGTGAACATTCTTACAGCAAAAGCAAAAAATGACTTACCTTCAGTTCTCAAACAGACAATCGGGATGGCCCGCATGCCTCAAACAGACCTTGGGGACTAATTTCTTACATAACTGTCTCTCGTTATTGACTGCCGCATCCTCTAAACTTAGGTGTAGTGGATTGATGCATAAACTATTGTGACATATGTGTGAGATGTGCTTATCATGTGGAATATGTAATGTGTTTGTATGAAGCATGTACATGAATCTGTGTGCTAGTAGAACTTTTTTCGTGTTGTCTGGAAATGTGATTTTTACCCTCCCGTATGTTGGCCCTGTATTATTTCCCCTCCGTCTTCTATTTGTTGCTAAATTCCTATCAAAAAAATTACACCCCAACCCATTCACCCTCCCCCTATCAACTTTCTCAAGCAAAATCTCTAATTTCTCCCGCCTCCAGTCAGCATCCATGATGAAGATAAAAAAATCCCTTAAAGCACCCAGACTCCCCATATAAGTTAAAAATAACATGTAAGTTTCATGTAAATATAAACACTTACCTTCCGAATGCCCTCGCTGCAGGTTGCACAACAGTATTAATTTCTGCTATATATTCTTACCAAAATTACTCACCTTTAGTTTGGCCTGACTCATTCAAAACAAACTTCTCAGATGTTTCACTTTCACATCTTGTAGTACTACTGTTACTTAACATTTCGGTACAAAAAAATACATACCCATCCAGCAAGGCGTTCAAGTTTGTTTACATCAAAGTCAATTAGGTGCTTGAAAGCCATGTGTTTGGCCTCATCACTCAATCCTGAAATAAAATTTAGAAAAAATATTTACTGGTCTCATTAATTTTTTTCTTCTATTTTTTCTGGAAAAGAATATACTGTTTTACATCTCAGAAAAAATATGGGCACCTACCTCTCTGCAAAAGTCCTGAAATCAAGGGAAAAACTCAGGAATTATTTTCCGTCCTCCATGATTTGACGTGAACCCAAGGCCTAATACTGTTTACCATCTTCAAAGATTCCTTTGGCATCTCGAATTGTGTATGTGTGTTTTGCAATTGCAAATTTCAGAAATTGTATTGTTGACAAACTGCTTGAATACAGAACTGAAACTGATTATTTTATGATTTTTTTTCTCATTGAAGTGACAAAATACAAGTAAAATGTAAAACAAGAAAGGTTTAATAATTTGTATAAGATTAATACAGTTGTACATAAAAAAAGCAAAATCTTTAAGTAATTAAACATAATATATACATGTTTAATTCATATTAATATTGTAACAGTATTAATAAACGTATGTAAAATGCAGCTCTAAAGGAAACCAACTGATCTGTTATTGTTCATAAACACACTTAGTAAAATTGTCCCTTTTCTCTGAAGTTGTTTACAATATTCAATTACAATGTTTCAACTGGTCCTATATTTATCAACAATATGAAATAATTTAACATATTGCATCAGCATACTGAATGGACAATTTTGAATGAGAAGTGACTGTATTTCACATTGGAATTTGGTTTCAACTTGAATTATCCTGTCACAGAGTCCCTTGTCAAAAATGGAAAGTGCTTCCCAGGTTGGATTTTTTCGTTGCGACCCGCAAAAGGGCATTTCACTTCTATAAGTGCTTCGTTCCCAACAAGGCCATCTGGTGATGCACCCAAGTAAGATCTTTCTTTATCAACAAGAGGCCACATCTTCTTACACTTCTTCCCGTTTCCCTCTCGAAGTTCCTGTATAGACAAGAGGAAGTGTAAAAATAATTTATGTTAATCTGAAGGTAGTACATGTTTTCAACTTACAACTTCTTGATTCAATGACAAACCAGCATTCTGCCTAACCAGTTATTTGATATCCTATACAAGAGCAGTGCTGGTAGTATGAGTACTGACAAGCCCCATATCAAGTGTTCAACCTCCTCAATTCCAATAAATTAAATATTGTAAGAAATTTACCCATCTTCAGTTTTATTGTACTGGTAAATGCGTTTCAACCTGAAGCTTTAATAAAAATTTCCAGGCAAATCCAAAACTATTACACACCTTTTAGCACGCGCCTCATAGGTACGACCATGAATTAGAGCTTCGCTTCGAAGCAGAGCAGCAGATGGCTGGTGGATGGATTCACAGAGTTTCTGCTTATTCCTCCTGTCTGTAGCTAAACAGATATCCCCAAAACGAGATGCTGTGATCCGCCATGATCTTTCCTTAAACCAGTTTTTGGAGCTGGCTTGTCCACGAGTCCTCTCCTTAATTGCAAACATTTCATCTGCGGTTACCTAATATAACGAAATAAGTATTTATATGTTATTTTCTTAACCTAGAATGAAATGTATCTTACCTTGCTAGGGAACTTACAAAGGAAAACACTTTAGTAACATGTATGAGATTTATTTCACTAAAGATCATTTGACAGATTTCATAGATGCCCTCATAGTTATGGCTCACTTTTTTTAATTTAATATTGTGTACATTGAATTAGTGACTAAAATAGTGTAATCATTTTATATTTGTTAGATTGATGATAAAAGTGTTTCTTGTCAGCTGCAATTTTATGACTTTGAACTGAATTTTTTGATAGAGAAAAATACCTACATCAACAGCTTGTTCTACCCAGTATTCTGTGAAAGGTCTTTCTAAGTAGTCATGCTGTCTATGAAAATGATTATTAATATTAAAAAGAGAAAAACTAAAAATCATCAATGAACAGTATAACTTTCATTAATTTGCAATGCTACAAAATAAATATATAATATTTTATGTGGAACCAAGTGAATGATTTACCTAAATATCTGCTCGTTCGATGAGATATCTGAATGTTATTAGATTCTCTGAGGTCTTTGAACAGTAGTTGATGACCATATTTCTGACTCTGTCAGGGTATCCAGCTTTGTTTCTTAAATGTTCAGGACGTGGATCACTAAAGAAATCGTCATTCAATTTACGCTTTCTGGAAAGATTTGCAGCTTTCACGGGTGATCCTAAATGGGAAAATTATGATTGTTCAGAAAACACTAAATTATGAAAATTATTATGGTAATTCAAAAAAAAATTTTGAATATATTATATGAGTGAGGTGAGATATAAATATGTAGTACATTTCCTTGCAACTTATTGATTCAAGTTTTTTAGGTCACCTGAGTATTGACTATCACTTTTTGTCCGTCGTCGTCCGTCGTGCGTCGTGCGTTAACATTTAAACATTTTCAGCTTCTACTCTGAAACCACTGAACCAATTTCAACCAAATTTGGCATATAGCATCTATGGGTAAAGGGGAACAAAAATTGTGAATTTCATGGTTCCTGCCCCCCTGGGGCCTGGGGGGTGAGGCAAAAACCACTAAAATTAGTGCAATCTTTAAAAATCTTCTTCTTTACTCCTGGACATTAAGCAGTCAAACTGTTTGCATGATTGTAATCAACATTGAGTCTTCTACCAAAATTGTGAAATTCATGGCCCTGGGGTCATGGGTTCTAGTGCTAGGGTGGGGCCAAATAAGTATATAGTGAAAATGCATTATTTCTTTGAAAATCTTCTTCTCTGCTACTGGGTATTAACTAAACCTACTAAGTACATAGTTATGATGAGCAAAAGTGCCTCTACCAAAATTGTGAATTTTATGGCCCCAGGGTCAGGGGTTCTGGTGTAAGGGTGGGGCTCTATAGTATACAATTATTTAATGCCTGAGCAGTCAATAGACCAGAATATTTTTACCGAGGTGCAGGGAACAGCTCAGTGTGTTCTATTGCCCGAGGCCAGCGGCTGAGGGCAATAGAACACACTGAGCTGTTCCGTGCACCGAGGGAAAAATTTTCTGGTCTATTGACTGTTCAGGCATTAAATAATTGTTTTATTACCTAATTTTATTTTCCGTATTAAGTGTTCAAAATTGTATATTCAGTACATAAGGTTCCTGTACCATATTGTTAATTTTTACCTAGATACGGTGCATCTGTAATATTAATTAAAGATTGATTGTATAGACTATTGTTTACATTCCTCTCGAAAATTTTTCACTCTTATGGAGACGCCACCACTTCCCGGTGAAGAGGGGCCTTTTTCGTGCCAGCAGAGCACCTACTGCTACACGGGACATCGGTTAACAGGTCTCACCCGAAGGACCAGTCTCCACATCCCACAGTGTATTAATTAAAAGTAACTCTCATTAAAAAAAATATCCGACCATTAAAATCACACAATTTTTAAAATCAATGCAGAAAGATCGAATAAGATGATTGTTTACCATGTCTGTGCAGTGTTACAAACAACTAAATTCGAAACCCGGATCGTTTTTGACGAAATACGTCACCGGTCAATAGAAACGCGCAGTCTATTGACCGGTCAATAGAACGCGCAGTCTATTGACCGGTCAATAGAACGTGCATTCTATTGACCGGTCAATAGATCGGTTTGAAAAGATAAGGAAAACTGAAAACACATCCAGAATAGATGAAAATATTAAATCTCTAATAAAACAACAAAATTCACTTGATTAGGTAATAAATTATAATAGTGAAATTACATGAATTCTTTGAAAATCTTCTTCTCTGCTCCTGGGTATTAAATAAACTAACTAAGTGCATAGTTATGATGAGCAAGAGTGCCTCTACCAAAATTGTAAATTTTATGGCCCCAGGGTCAGGGGTTCTGGTGTTAGGGCAGGGCTCTATTGATTATACATGTATAGTGTAAAATACATTGAATCTTTGAAAGTTTTCTTTGTAACAATCACTTTTGCACTTGTATATATAATTTGTGTTTCCTGCGTTTTGTCCCTATGCTTTTTATACCCATAAGTCCTTGCAAGATAGCTAAGCCGACCAGAACAATTGAGGCCTGGTCATTTCCGGCAGAGAAGCGTAGCTGCAGACACGTTTCTGATTCGAAGCAGCTAGTATATGTTCATAGCAGCAGTACATGCAATATTTTGACACTGGCACGGAGACAGGTCCGTGGTAAGTATTACTTATGATATTATTTGCTTTGTATATAGTTTTTTTATGGCAAATTTATTATTGAGTACAACTTCGTTCTTATTTCTGAACTTGGCCAGCTCTCACCATTTTACCTGTTGTTCACTCAGGTGTGACGGTTAGCGAGAGTGTTCGAGTGGCTGTTGTATTATATCGATAACGTTTAAAGTTCTCATTGTTAAAGCTGAACACTACTCGTAAATAGGCATAGTCCGCCATATTTCTCGTTCTTCAACGCTCTCCCTTCAACTCGTATATAAGGAGCAGATCGCAAGTCAGTTCAATGTATTTTACTAAAGAGATCCGACGAGTGCAGACGTATATCTTACAAAGCGTACTAATCAATATCGATGAAATTATCAAATTTTACGTATTTTTTCCAAAACAGGACAAAAGTATCATGGAAAATACAGGTCAATACATTATTTACAAACAGAAAATGCACATAAAAACAAGAAATAAACGCAAAAAATCGAAGACCACGATAGGAGTACTATATGTCAGCCACAAGTTTCAAGTGTGCAATCGGGTGTAACGAAAGCGAACGGTTTATATACCCGTCTGACAGTGCCTATTTATGAGAAGTGTTCAGCTTTAAATGTTCGCTATTTTCTTGTACTCAGTTTTGTTACTTTGTGTAGAATATTTTGTCCATTTAAATATTGGTTTAAATGTCTGGGCGGAAGTGAATGACCGGAAGTTGGAAGTAAGATGCGCCATATTGACAGTTATTTGTTTTTACTTTTGTTAACTGGTTACCATTATACTTAATACTTTTTGATTATTTTTATATTAAGAATGAATTGCCAAACATAGTGGTATTGCCAAACATATGTAGTGAAACATGTGACTTATTAATATGCATCATTGTAGCGTCAAGGATATTGGTACTGGATATTGGGTACATGCACTAAGCTGAGGGAATCGTCTGATCGTGGTGACACAGCGGAAGGTTCCAGGACTAAAGCCCGGAAGGATGCTGTGTGTGTGATCAAGACTCGGTGACGGTGGACACACACAGATACGTCACACCACGTGTAACGTTGTGATAGTTATAGATGAACACTAGTGGCAAACCTGACATGGTTTTATTTATATGATGATCATGATGATGGTGATGATGACGATGAGGATGATGATCGATGATACGGAGACGATCACTACATTTGGAAACGTTTGGCATTTATTCAATAATTGAGACATTGATTGATAACTGAGATATATACCCGGGGTAGAAGTGTGGTTGATTGTTAATTGGTTACCAAGATAATTGTTTTGTTTTTTTTGTTAACTGTTTAATAGTGAGTACTTGGGTTGTGGATCAGAGTGCGGTAGATTGTGTGAGGTTTTTGTTATTATTATTATTTTTTTTTTGTAAATAAATTTATTAAACTTATTGAACTTGTGTGATTCTTGGAGAAAGCCAGCTTGACCACGTGACATTCTTCTCTGCTCCTTGGCATTAAGCAGCTAAACTACCTATATAGTTATGATGAGCAAGGGTACTAATCTTCCAGAATTGTGAATTTCAAGGCCCCAGGGTCAGGGGTACCATAAAGGATGGGGGGGGGGGCTGTACTTATATACTGAAACTGGATGAATTGTTCGAAATATGCTCCTTGGTATTAATCAAATATTTTTGAAAAGCAAGGGTGCCTTTCAAAAATTGTGCAATGTGTGGATCTAGGCCTAAGGGTCAGGGGTTCACTGAAGAACACTAAAGAGCACCTGAATTTCACAATCAACTTGACTTTCTAAGTGGCGGAATTTGGTGATATAATTAGAGGTTAAAACTAACTAGCTTTTTAAAAGCAATCTTTATTAATAGTTTTTTTTTTTACCTGAGTATGAATGCTTAGGCTTGTGAATTGTTTGTCGATTTTCTGTGCCGGATCTCTTAACCCAAAGGCCCTTTCCTTCACTAAAATACAATAATATCAGTGTAACTGCACCAAGGTACTTTGAGGTGCCATGTGGTCCTCGTCCTGCCGGACATTAACAGTGACTATTCATCAGGTCCCCCGAAGACTTATCCAACTTCATTTTAAAATTATACGTTAGTTGCAGTAAATTTGACAAAAATCATCTTAAAAGTAAACAAATTTCTATTCTATATAATAGTACATAAAAAACCTAATTTTTAATTTTTAATTTAGTTTGTGTATCATTGTAAGTAAACTTACTCTTGTTTTCATAGCTGCTCCAACAATGTCTGTGAAAAATAATGCATTGCCTTGCTTTAAATATGAAGCCGCCAGAATCCTATCACTGTCAAGGAGCAGTCTTCCTTTTTCAATGACCTTCACATCCCCTGTGCTTTGTTTATCACCTATTGATATTGTACAAGATAGCTCATAATTCATGTATATATAAATAAATAAGCAATGACCAAACTTGTAATGCATCATGAAAAATGAATATTAAGTTTAAAGTAAATTATCAAAATGTCAAAGTATTTGTAAAAACAAACCTGCTAATCTATGCGCAAAATACATGTCGATTTGCTCGATACACATTTCTGGAATGTCTTTTCTATGTTCATCCTGTAGCTGTTGGAATCTCCTTGTAGGCCAGTCTACATCTAATGGCTCAGGAATGAGAATAGTTCATTTCTAAAATCTTTATTCCGGTGTAAAGACGAATAATGACCCCCATCGAATAATGACCGGGGGTCATTTTTCGACAGCGAAAAATGACCCCCGGTCATTATTCGACGTAGAAAAATGACCCTTTTGCCCGTAGAAAAAGTGTCACTTTCCTAAAAATTTGCAGAACCCACGTGAAGAAAAATGACCCCCGTAGAAAAATGACCCCCTGTAGATTAAAGCTAAAAATTTTAGGGGGCAAAAAAAAAAAAAAAAAAAAAATAGATAAAGAAGCATATTGGCCAAAATGCTCACCTGAGCTTATTGGGAATAAACTGATGATATGTTGATCTCATAACATTATACAATTATAGTCATATTTTAAGTTATCCCATGACCGACAAATTTTTTCTTTGATCTTCACAAGGGTGTATTTCTCATATCAACAAAAGTGTTGTGATATATTAAATATCACATATGTGATATAAAGCTAGTGATATCCAACCGTTATACCCTAGATGTAGGAGGAGCTATGCAAATGAGACAAAAATGCGTTTCTAGATTTTAATGAACTAACAGAAACAAGAAAAAAAAACACACAATACAGATAGTTAACACAGTTTAAATCAAAATGCACAAATCTTTACAAAAAAAAGACACTGACACAGTCTGGCGGAGCAATGCTCGAAGCGGATAGCTTCATCTCCCATAGGAATTCGCACATTCAATGGTAGTTTCCTTCCGGGCATCCTCTGAAAAGTTCATTTCATGAATACCTTGCTCTCATGTACAGTAAAATATCGGAACAGATTTGATATAAAGTCCTCGATCGGGGGTAGGGAAATCCGTATGAGCCCCTGGCTTCAATTACAGTGTACAAAACATGATATAGTGTTCGAAAGTTCTTGGTATATAAAAGTGAGTATTTCGGGAATTATTTTAAACTCACCAAGTTGTTGTTTCGCTGAGATTTCCAGTCGTTGAACACTTGAACCATGTTGACTGCCCATAAATTGATGAAGTGTTACGGCGTGTGGTTTTACTTTCTTGATTTTTTAAGCGCACTTATTTCACTGGCGACACATGTTTTCCGAATCTGTATAGCTAGTATTTTTAGTCCACCGTTTCAATTCCGGAAATGATCCCAAACACCAACACTGTATAAATCGAAATTCATAAAAGTCCTGGCCACATGGGTCATTTTTTAAATCCGATCGCCTGAGTTCATACAATCTGAACTGCTTAGCTTGACTCGATTGAAAATTATCCTCGTCGTAGACGTGCTGCAAAAAACGGCTATTCTTTACGCTTAAGACCCCTTCTACTACTTTCTCCAAATCCATAGAATACAAATGAATTGATTATCTCAAGAAAATGATCACGTGGTACAGTACTATGAAAATTTACCAAATTTGTAAATCCGTTACTTGGATACCAAAATCCCTTCGCGTTAAGACTATCACGTGGTTCTAGATCTGATTCAGAGTCTTTATTAGTTGATACAAAGAAAATACCTAATATGGGAAGAGGTCAAATGAAGGGTCATGGGATAAATCAGTTACATGATTGACAGCTCGATGATGCATACAAAATATCGTTTCGTTATTGCAAACTCGGAGGCTAACGCCTCCTCGCGTGCAATAACTCAACGATATTTTGTATGCATCATCTCGTGTCATCATGTAACTATTACGTAAATGCAATGATTCAGAATCTAAAGGAGTGAAAGATTTATCAAGCCTTAAGGGTTAGGTAAACATTGTTTTTTGATGGTGGAAATCAGCAAACTGACAGAAAAAATCAGCAGTATTATATATTATTATGTCCTCCGCTTGAAAAGCGGGAGGGTATATAGTGATCGGGATGTCCGTCCGTCCGTCTGTTACGCTTTGAGGTATCCATCTCTTATCCGCAAATCCTCATATATAAAAATATGTGTTTGTGAAACAGCTATGCCCCTGTATGGCAACATAGCGAAGATTAAACTTTTCTTAAATGCAATTTAAATATATTGTTACCCAAAGTAGAGTCTTCTCACAAGAAGTACAACTGCAAAATACGAGAGCCCTAGCACCACTTGTTCAAAAGTAATGGCTAAGGATTAGTTTTTGAAAGGTAGGTCAAACTCAAAGGTCAAAGTTGATGATTTCTTAAGAAAATGTTCAATGTAACAAGGATTACATATGTGAAGTATGAATACCCCAGTCCTTACCGTTCAAAAGTTATGGCCAAGGTA